AGCGTTATCGAGTCGAGTACAAATGCCAGTTCTGAAATATCAGGAAGGAATCTTCCAGTAAAGGATGATGTGGGAGAGTACTGTAGACGTTTCTGGAGAATGGCGAACCTTTTTCTAGTTCCGCATTTCCTGCGATCACTGCTCTGATTGTACCAATAGAAGTGCGGGCATTTTCCGTCAAACGAACCCTACATAAGTCCTATATCAGGTTATCTCACAAGCATAAATCCCACTATTACAAACCTGAAACCGATTACTGAACCACTTGGGAAGTTTGTCAGCTCAATGAAGCCATTCACGTTCCCATGGACGACGCACATTTTGGCTTTATCTGGCGGAACATACTGACGAATACTAACTTTATAGTTAGTGAGTCCGGTGAGGACGTCTGGATTCTCTGAACAAGAAAGCCGTCGCAATTTTCAGGTCAATCTACAGGAGCTATGTGTATATAAGCAAACGTGGATATAAATTCTCAAGCCTTTTTAATAGATTCCTCTTTTCATCTAAGTCTGGTTTTGCTAGTGAAGTAGCGCGTGAAATTCCAGAGTTTCTGGAGATGGAGCGTTCATTGTTCCCCTCTCATGTAATTTGCGATGGCTGACGATTTCCTTTGTACCATTCTTTTCCCACTCATTTCCACCATTCACTACCCCCTTTTCCTGGACCCTACCTTCAAAACTTTCCCCATATTTTCTGAGTAGATTCCCAGGGACGGAAAGCTCAGCTCAAAAAAGGCTGAAGTACCCCTGATGAATCAGGCTACTGAATATCGAGCGCTAAGCCACGCTACTCTTCTTACGGCCACGTCTCTTAACGGGCATGTCCAGACGATGTGAGTGAATAGTTGAGCTCTCGCTGTAAAGGTCTCGAAATTAACAAACCAAAAACTTTTTTTTCTAGAAAAAGTTAAGATAGCTGTCAAGCACACTCAAAGGGCGTTTGCTAAAGAAAAACAATGGAGAGGGTCATCCATTGGAAGACACCGATCCTCGTCGAAAAGAACCTTCATTCCTTTTTCATGCAACGAGGGAATGACCTGACAAACCTGGATTCCATTCGGGAGATACCTCATCGATTCGCATTTCAAAGAGGATATCTTCCAGAATACCTAAGAAAACACTGATTTATTTCGTCTAGACACTTCACTGGAACTAACCTCCAATCGGGATGTTCTTTAGATAGACGCGATCCTTGTTGATATGATGCTTATTGAAAGCCGTATGAGCTACAATGAATACGGTGTCGTGGGTGATTGGATTGTGCCTCGTTATCCCAACAACATCGGGGCTCATTTGGTCAACAAAAACCTGCAAAGGGCTCATGGGATAAAAAAAACAACTTCACAACAATGGATTTCAAGCAGTTGAGATTCATCTGGAACTGACCTGTGTGTAATTTGCCCTCGCCAATGTGAGATGCAAGTCGTTGAGAATACGTCGAGCTTCAACTATCCCAGTGTTATAAGTCGTCTCACTTCCCCACTTTGCATAGGGACGTTTTTCTTTTACAACATGGATCTGAATGTGGGAAGTTTCGGGTGAATGGAAATCCAGAGTCGCATTTTGATCAAATTAGTTCTTTTTTTTTTGAAATTTATTACATCCATTCTTCAGTGGATTCACCGTTACGTCGTTTCATTTGTGAATTGATAGAAGATGATTGTCCTTTTTAACCTTTCGGAACATCTACACCAGAAGTCCACCTATTTTTATTTGTTTACTTATTTAT